TCAGGTCGGCAAAGATCCGGCTGCGGCCGTCGTCCGCTTCCTCCTGCGCCAAGGGCTGCTGCTGGCAGGAGCTGGGGGCCCGTGCCCGGGTCAGCAGCACGCAGACGAGGGCAAAGATTGTGGCCAGGGCCAGGAGGAGCAGCACAACCATGGTTTTCATGTTCATGGCTGCTGCTGGTTTCGAGGCTTTTTGAGTCGCTTTTGGAGCAGGGCTTGTGCTGCTGCTTCTGCCAGTTTATGCTGCAGTGGATGGAGTAGCAAGGAAAGTACAAAAGACTGGGAGAGGCTAGGGGAGGAGATCTGAAGTTAGTGGTGAGCAGAAAGAACAGCTCTCACTCACTGCATCCTACTCTGCCTTCTTCCAAGAGCTGCTGCCCTGAGAGAACCACGGGGGATGCAGTCAGTGACTCAGACAAACTTCACATCACTGTTACTTTTTCAGTCCTGCCCAGTTTCCTGAGGCTGTAATAACGACAATCCTGTAGTCATACCAAGGTGGTTGGGACCACAGTGAGGCTCTCACAGACTGGGAATTGTTGCCACACTGTAGAATTTCACCTCTTTGTAACTTGTCAAATTTCCTTGTTTATCAGGCTGCTTCCTTGCAAACACTCTCCCTGGCAGCATGATTTCAAACTTGGAGTTACTTTCTATTTTAGTTTTTAAAATCTTCTACGTGGAAGCCTTTGTGAAAACACATCCACCTGTGTAGTAGTAAAAAAAAAAAACTTTGGCAGGCATAGAGAGCTGGAGTTTAGGACGATATACTGGCCCCGGTGCAGCATGAACAACTAGCTCTTAGTTTGCATCTCTGAGTATTCATTAACTAATTAATCCCCATCATTCCACTGGAACAAGTTCAAGTAAGTTTTGCCTCTGCCTCAAATTCTAAGGTAAACTGCGGTGCAGCTTCAGAGAAGTTCCCTCAAGGACAGCCTTTGATCTGTGGCATCCACACAGGCAGCGCCAGCAGCCCCCTGCTGTCCCACTGCACAGGCTGAGCAGCCACCTCCAGCGTGTCTCCCAAAGGCTGTGACAGCTCCCTCAGCCATTGCCACCCAAAGTCTCTGCTGTCCTCACAGCATCGCCGAGCAGGATGGGGGGTTCTTTGCTGCCACACAGCAAACACCAGAGACAGACAAGACACACTGCTTCAGTTGCAGTCCCTGCCTGTCCCTGAGCTGGTGCTGAGAAATACAAGCAATCCAAGAGAACCACAGCTGGAGGTTGAACCCAACATTTCCATTCCTGCTGCCAGCCTCACCTCACCTCACCCTGGCCTTCCCTTTTTCCTCCAGAGTTTCCCAGTGGCAGGCTATCCCAGCCTGCAGCACCATTTAATCTTCTTCCTCTGCTCCGGGTCTTGCCCTAGACTCAGCCTTTCCTGAGCCACACTTACCAGACATCGCACTGGCAGGCAGGCAGCTAGATGGTTTTAGGACACCCTACATTATCTTCACCACAGTGGACAGCTGTCAACCTTCTTTAACCTCAGCTGCAGCCATGCAGGCAGAGTCACTTCATGCAAGCAGGAGTCCCTTCTGCTCACTGCCTGTTGCACCAGTAAAGCCACAGTAGTCATCTCATGTAGCTGCTGACCAGAAGAGGAGAACCCTGTGACAAAGATGCAAGTAGTGGGAAGAGATAGGACCTATGATAAAAGAGCTTTGGCAATACAGGCTGTAATATCTACAGGTTTTAGAGGTACCCTGTCCCATCAGCTTTCCACTGATCTCTAACAGCAGAATCAGATGCCTGAATAGCCCTAGATTAAGTAAAAGTAGTGCTGAATTCCAAGATAGCATTCCAGCTATGAAGTCAACAAGGCTTTAAGGGTTACTTTGCGTTGGGTCCCAAGGACAAAGTCCCTTTTGGTGTAAAGCCTAGAACACAGTACTCCATTTCACTTAAAGTGCAGAGAGGAAGTGCTTTTGTACTGTTGAAGGTTGGGAACAGAGTCAAGACATACCTCCTGCCTCCAGGAATTTAACTGGCCTCTGCTGCAGCACACCTCTGCACAGCTGGGCTGAGCCTGCTGCACAAAGCACATCTACCTTTACATTTCCCTGTGGCAAAAATAGCAGATAATTTAGTTTCAACTTTGCCTATTGGTGCTGTATCTCATGTTCCTAAAAGCCAAAGCACAAGCTGCAATTAGATTGTCATTTTTTAAGCAGCAGTAATTTAAGAGAACTGGATAAACTTCACAGGCCTTACACTGCCCCACAAATGACAACTCAACCCTGCAGCTTGTCTGTCAGATGTCTGAAAATACAGTGTGGGAACACTTCTGTGCACGTTGGGGATTTGGAATGCAACAAAAGAACAGAAGCCCCAGTCAAATGATGTCCACATGATGAACAAATCCACAGCACACAACCTGGGTCTGCTCAATTAGTTGGCACTAACTGATCTCTGTGCTGCCTCTGTCCTGCTGCAGGGTACGTGCCAAGGCTGTCATGTCTAATATCATGTGTCATTCAATGATGCCCATTTCTGCTGTACCTTTCAAGCTGAAGACTTTTACAGTTTGTAACAAGAATCAGCCTGTATTTTCTGGGAGTTCTGTTCCAGAACAAATACAAGAACTAAATCCATTGCTATCCTTCAGCAGACATTTCAGGAAGCAGGGCAATTATTTGAGTCTGAAGAGATGAGAAACCCTTATCAACATGCAAGTGATAAAAAATGTTGAGGGACTCTTAAGTATAACACATACCACAGGAACAGCATCTTCTCCAAAAGGACCCTGAAGCAACTTAAAGCTAGCCTAGAATTTCGAAGATGACACATCTCACTAATAGCAGCATGACTTGTTTATGAGCTGCGTGGTACAAAAAAAACCAACCAACTGTGCACAGCTCATTTCCCCAGTCTAATTAGCCCATGACTCTTCCCTACCTAACATGGAGAATTCACATCATACCAGTTTATTTTGACTATGTGGTTGCTTTTAGGCACTGCTTGTCAGTGCAACACGTCAAGTAAAGTGCCAGTATCTTCCAAACAAAGCACAGTAGCTGGGAGTTTGCTGTGCTTTGCTCACATAGAAAGGTAGAGCTGGCAAAAATAGTCCCTCAAATTTATAGGAACCAAAGCACAGACAGGCAGCCTTTTGAGTCAGTGACTGCCAAGCAGCTGGGTAAAGAGTATACTGAGCACACACAAATTCTTGCCAGTTTTCCTGACATGGGTACATCCCAAGCAGATCCCAAGTCAAACTTCAGACTCAACCTCCCACTCTCTCACCTTTCACAGTCAGCTTGTGTAAAACAGACTGCTGGAAATTGCTTGACACTTACTCATGCTGGCTAGCGTTTTTGTCTGAACACAACTGCTGTGCACTTATTCTTATTTCAAAGTTCTAATCTCCACTGCAAATGCAAGCTGGGATGTCTCAAGAAGCTGTGAGTTAGAGTCCTGACAGCACACTGCCGCTTCTCTGGGAAAGAAGAGCAGAAACCACTGCACCAAGGGGTGAGGATCCCAGACAATAAACCTTCCCCTGCTCCTCTGCACGAAACGTGCTTCTCACCAACACCTGTCAGCACAGCAGTGCTGGATGTTTCATCCTTCCACAGGACTGCTGGCACAGGGCTGCTGTGGGCTCCTTTTGTCCTGGCCGTATCAAGGTGGACCTCTTCTGCCATACGGCATTGAGCAATGCCAACAGTAATCTTTTCAGCAATAGCTCCTGCCTCCTCAGCCCCAGGGACCTGTGCTGTCAGTTCCTTACCCATCTTCACCAACAAGTGTGGGCACCAGGACTTTTCCACTCCACAGGAAGCACAGTGGCCCAGCAGGAGGCAGAATACAGCTGTCTACAAGCTGCTGCTTATGCTTCGTCTTGGAGGCTGAAGACTTTGCAGACAGGTCGGCCAGGAGGCCAGGTCTCACCCAGCCTCCCAGTGCTCCTCAGGCTGGATCACAGCCCCCACCTAGTGGCAACCAAGCTGTGAGGGACACAGCCTCCCTATCACAAACCAGAACAGGCTGGACTTCAGCAGCTCACAGACAGGAAGCTGGGGAATGAATGCCACTTGGCTGAACACTGCAGAGCAGGTCCTTGCAGCCCAGGCTGTATGCCACACATGCTGAGGAACAGGAACGAGAACAAAAGCATGCCTCTGAGAAACGCTGAGGATGCGTTGGCCCATGTCTCCTTTGTACTGCACGCACAGTAAAATCAAGAGAATAACAGACCATCCTCTGAATACACTTGTCAGGTATGATACTCAGATGCCTGTCCTACAACACTGCAGACATCTGCTCTGCACAGATGCAGGGGCAGCTGTGAAGTGAGTTGCAGCTCTTAGAACACCATCATGCAAATGACTTGTACCTGTCCAGTTATACCTGGACCCAAGACAGCCTGAGTCCAACACAAAGGACAAGAACAGGGCAGATCTCATCAAACTCAAGCCCCTGGGCCTAATATAAGGCATGCTGAAGGAACAGAAACAATCTTCAAAGCAGCACACGCATAGCAGTATCAACAGTCAAAAAGAAGAATGAGGAGAACATATTGAAGGAACCACTGGATGTGTGAAAGGCATGGCCAAGAGCAGACACCAACACTGCAGAGCGATTCTAAGAGCTCAGTATCACAGACAAGGGGCTAGCTTAAAAGAATTCAAAGTACCTTATTTTAATTTCCTGATATGGTAAAAGTTTACATAGTTTCATCTGGCAAAGAGAGCTCAACAAATTAAAATAAATCAATACAAAGAAACACAAGGGGGAGTGCTGCTCCCAGATAGCAGCTACAACGCAGTTGGTTTGTTACAGAATATTTATTAGTGGGAAGACTAAGGTTGACTCACTACAAACAACAACAGAAGAGTCTATAGAAAGGGCTGGCGGCCCTCCACACTCCGGGGAAATCCCTAGGAAACCAGCAAGAGACAACATGGCTCTTAGAGGTGGAAGCAGAAAAAGAAAACAAAAACAAAATTAAAAAAAAAAAAAAAAGAAAAAGAAAAAGAAAAAAAGAAAAGAGAGAGAGAGAGAAAATTCATTTCTTTTGTCACTGTTGTTACAACGAAGTTAACACAACTATTAAGGCTACTGCACAATAAGAATATATGGGTGTAACAAGACCTGGGAAACAGTGAGGTTCCAGAAATAAATGATTTAACATTCCCTGAATATGGGACTTAAGTAGAAATACTATAAATAAAAAATTTGGAGCCTGCAGCATTATGGGTTCACTTCCCACACACAAAAACTGACGCAACACAACCAATCATTTCCAAAGGGGGTTGTAATGGACCATGAAATGTTCCAGCAGCTTAGAGGAGTCAGTAGGCACACAAGGGTGCTCTTTTGCAGGGGAAAGAATACAAGGTTTGCAACGGTACCAGGTGGGAATTGGCCATCCTCACCCCAAGCACTACTGTCACAGCTGGCCTGCTGTGCCTGACAGCTGGAAGCACTGCCAGAAGAAAGCAGGTTGCATTCTGATCACACATGGAATCTACCAGGAGTTTAGCATCAGACCTCTGGCTCCTCCCTTCTCTCAGCCTGGGCAAAAGCAACTTATATTGAGGAGGCATGAAGACTCCCGTGAAGTTGGTTTTAACCAAGAAAGTGACTCTAGTCAATTTGCAAATTGGAGCAGAAGCCACATGCACTCACAACCAGCCAGTACAGCAATCAGCCCCAGTGACAAGCACCACCTTCAGCTCTGCATTGACCTGCTCAGAACCAAGGCAGAGACAGATGGGCCACACTCTACTGAGTCAAAAAAGCCACAGAACAATTACAGACCTCTCAGTGGCACTGGAACGTGGCTCTGGCCACCAACCCAGACGGGGCAGGATCCTGTCTTTGCAAATAAGTCAGTGCAGAGCATTGGCAAAGGGGCTCAACTACAGCCAGCACTGAAGAGAGCTGGCTTTCAGTGACTGCACCACCACCCAGGCCTTATCTTGTGCTGAAGACTGTCTGCCTTGTTCACAGAGACCACAGAGAAGTCTCCAGCCAAGAGATGGAACACGACAAGGGCCTGGTCTCTACTGTAGCTCCTACTCAGGTAGGAAGAAAGGCATGAAGGAATGTTCCTGCCTGGCTGGCGCTCTGCTCTCACTCTGCAGTAGCCTCTAGGGCATCCCAAAGCAGCAAGGCCTTTTTCTTTACCAGATACTAGAGGGAGGGAGAGCTCCTGAGACCTGAATAAAACCAATCACAAAACTAGGTGAGAATTTCTTTAGATTTTAACTAAGAATGCAATACTATTTCCAGCCAGTTTCCCATCTCGATAGTCATGTAACAAACCAAGGCAATGACGGTCTTTAGTTGACTGAACAGTTCTCAAGTTCAAACGTTGACACTTAATAAAGGGTCTCAGCATTGCTGCTCCGAGGCCTCTTGATCTTCTCAATGTTTTTAAGGATCATGTCATGCAAAGTGACCTGCAAAAAGGGAGAACACAACTCAGAAATGAAGGAGGGGAGTGTCACTTAGCATTCAGGATTCACAACAACCACTGACTTGAGCAATATCACAGCTCATTCTGGTACTACTTTCAACCCCTGCTTGCAATCACATTTCTGCTTAAAATAAGCACAAAAAGAAGACATCAATACAGAGTACAGAAATGGTTTCTACTGCCTGAAGAATTTAGGATTGCAGGTTCCCACAGCAGTGCACAGAATATTTTGTGCTCAGCTTTCATGAATACTCAAGTTGAAAACACCCACATCTCTGGGAGATGGCGGGGAGGCAATAAACACTTAGTTCTTCTTGCTAGTGCCAAAGCAGACCAGGAAAGACATAGGCTTCTTGCCAGGACTAGCTGTAATCATAGGGAAAGGGGAGAGCAGCAGAAGGATCGAAAAGGCTCTTTCTGTTACGTGGAGAGCCAGCGAGAGCTCTGTTTTTTCACTTACATACTGATTCCTCAGCTCTGAAATGATCAGGCGCAGACTGATGTACTCCTTCTCGTCAATCTCTGTCACTGTGCGGCGGTAGTCCTCCTGCAGGAAACAGATGCATGGCTAAGTGGCCTGAGCTCAGGTGTGCTTCCATGTACCAACTGAAGGTCCTACCTTTTACAAAGGAATCCCCCTTTCAGTTTCTTCTCTTCTGATGAAGATATTCTGTACTCTAATATAGCCCACCCTTTTCCCACAGCGCCCTTAGCTCAAAAAGGACAGTGATGGAGTAGCCTGAAGAGTCCCAAAAAGCAGCAGTACATAAACAGTAAAGCACCACTTCCCCATTTACTTACCACATGAGGGTACTTAGCTATTTTGGACACCAACTTGGCTCTTGTGATATAATACCTGTTAGGAAAACGGAGACAAATCAGACAAACAGTACCAAGATTTTTCCAGACACAACCTGCCCCTGCAAAGCTGAAGGACCTTCCCCGAAAGGTTACTTTTCCCAGCAGCACTCCCAGAGAGAGCTCTGTTTCTTCATACCTAGAAATCTGGTCCAGATAGGATGCTGCCTCACTCTCCACAGTTCGAAGCTCAGCGACTGTTTCCTCCTGCAAAGGAAGCCTTCTCATGAAACACTCGTACTGAAATTGGCCATCGTGGCTCTAGAAGTACCCTGTCTCAGCAGTTCCATGTCAAGCTCAGATTTGGATTTTAAAACCTAAACTAACTCCACCACTGCAGACACTGGATACAATCAAATGATTTGGAAGAAACCTAGAGGTCCACGCTCTTGGGGCATAGCTCTCTGCCACAGTAGGGCATACAGCCTGCCAACGGCTTACGGGCTGGTTTGGCCCAGTTCCATGACTAGCAGGGCAGGGGTATCCACAGACCCATGTCCTGAGAAAGGGAAAAGGGAAAAAAGGAGAAAAAGGTAGAGAGATGGGCCTTAAAACAGCGGCAACAATCTGAGGAGAAACAAACTAATTTACTAAATCAGGTATCGAAACGTAAGACAACACACTATAATACAAAACCACGACACAGCCAATGATATCTTACCTGAATAGAAACACCAAAGTTGTTTCCATCTTCTATCCTGGGAATTAGAAGTTGCACCCACATTTTGACCTGCAGAAGAAAGATCACTATAAACTGATCACTGCCAAGATTTTTACAGAGAAATCTTGTAATTTTTTCCAAAAGCCCCCTATGACCGTGTCTTTGCCATGCAGCTCATGATAAACTCCTACAGGTTCTCCATGCTCCCACACCACTTCTGAGTAGATTAAATTTCTCATATGGCTGAGAAGCCACACAAGCATAGCAGCTTCTCAAGGGAAGCTCCCCTGATTGTGCCCAAGTGGCTCTCAGCAGGTGTTGGTTACTATGCAAGAGGGTGAAGAAAAGCCTCAAGAAAGGAGCCTGCAAAACAGACATCCTCCTTCACAAGGTGTACTACAGAACTCCCTGAGAGCTCAGAAAAGGAACATTTCCCTGCACCTACCTGTCAGACTTCACAAGTGCAGGATTCATACCACTATCATTTATAAGATACAGAGGAATCTGCTCCTTCAGCGAACCTTCACACAAGGAGCAAAAGTATTCTAGTGCCCCCATCTGCTCCAGAACTCAGGGATGCAGCCCATACCCACCGTATTACACTTCTCAATAAGCAGCCTGATCTCTGGTTTCACTTTCTCAATGATGTCCACCAGCTGCTGGTTGCTCTTCAGCATCCCATTGGGCATCACAAACACTTTGGTACCTACAGTGGCAGAGAAGGCAAACGCATCACCTCTATGTGGGAACAGATGCACCAGAAGATCAGACTAAAGGTCCACCTGAGCATCATGTCTCCTACAAAGGCTAGCAGTGGACACTGAGCCAGGACGCAGCTAACCAGCGAGGAGGGGGGAAACTGGGCATGGGCTAGCCGTGATTGCCACAAAGGAAAGAAGAGAGGAAATACGGACTTAGACAAGAACTGGAGAGCTCTAGCCTGCTGAGCCTAGGTGCAAGGATTTTCCTGACACACGTGTAAGAAATTATTCTGCCTCAGCTTAATCCAAAACCAGAGGTCTTCCTCCAGATGTAAAAAGCTTTTAGAATAGATCCATAGGGAGGCCAGCTGCTCATCAACACACTATGCCTAAGCAACTGCTACTTATGTCGATCAGAGAAATCCAAATCCTGCTGCTTCTAAGAGCTAGAACCTGACTCCACCACAAGAGAATATCTGTAGGTCAGGCTCTGAGGCTGCAGAGACAGGTCTGCATAATTAGCAGATGCTGTCAGGTCAGGGCAAGTGGGACTGAAGTCATTTCATTCTCTTAAGGCACGGCTCAAGGGGCAGGCAGCAACAAAGAGACTCGGGGATTCTTACCCTGAAAGGTCTCTTCACGGTCTTCCAGCTTCCTCTTTTTCATATTTGGCTAAAATATACAAAATGTTTTACTCACAAACTAGTCGTAAGCTATAAAACTGTTGCAGAGGAAGTAAGGATAACATTAGGGCCTCTGCTACATTCCTGGTTTCTAACCATCCGTCTTTAAAAACAAAGGAACACTGTGAAGGACAGCATCACCCTCCAGCAGACTTCCCAAGATCAGGAGACCAATTCCTGAAAGCCTTTGGGAGGCTGTTTGTTAACTAAGAATATTCTAATCCAACACAGACCAGGCCATGCAGTTTTAATTATCAGAAGCAGGAGCTCAGCCAAGAGAGTAACCTTACCCCATCCAGTCCATCATGGCTGTTTGTGAGAAGAATTGGGTCAGGCACTGGGAGATTCATGTCTGAATGGATCTGAGTGAGATCGTGAATATTCAGGATAGGCTCCTGGAAAATAATGCATACTTGTTATTTAATTATGAAATAACGACTTCTATCACAGTAAGCACAATAAGATGACAAAAGTTTTACATCTCCAAACACAAAATAAGGACGAATACAAAAAAAAACTCCAACAATAGGACTGTTAGCAAGACCTCCCTCTGTCCAAGAGCAGAGTGCCAGCTCTAGATTACGATCAAAGCTATTGTCTGTCTGCAGCACTGGGCATGCTGGAGTCCTATAGCATCATGAAGGACAGCCCAAAGCTACTGAATGCATAAGAACAGTAAATGTGTTGATCACATGAAGAAAACTGAAACAGGAATCACTCCCTCTAGAGCTAGCAGCGTTTCAGTACATGCACGCAACAAAGCCATTGCTTCACTTCTCTGCATTATGGGTGATATACACAAGATAAATGCACAGGAAGGATCTGTTCCAGTCACATCACCTTCCAGCACACAGTTTGAAAATAAAATAGAATACAGAAGATAACACGTATCTCTTACTTTCAGGAACCCATCGAGTTCTAACAGCTTCTTTGGGAAAAAGTTTGCCACTAGATCTTCAGCCTGATAGAGAAAAAAGAGATTATGAAGTGAAACAATGCCATGAATTCATCATGAGCTAACAAAAACACCAGGAAAATTGACTCTCCAAAGCCAGGAAACAGCAGGGCACATAAGTTCTGCCTTCCAACAAACTCCACACAAAGCCAAAGGGAAAAAGAGACGTGGAGTGGGCCACAAGGCTGTATAATCTCATCTCAGCCAATGACTAAAGTAAGCTGTGCACACTTCTAAGATTACAAAAGACACTCAAACGTCAAAAAGACGTGCCAAGCTAGCTCTTTCCTCTCAGAGGATACTCACCTCGCTCGTGATCCGCTCTCTGAAGGAGTCAACCTACAGAAGAAACAAAGCAACAGTTCAGGACCGTCCTAAAAAATTCCCCAACTCAACAGTAGCTGGGCGCTGCGCCATGCACGGATGGAGCCTGCCTCAGGTCCAAACCCCGGGCACCAACTTGTTCCTGTGAGCGCACGGCGGAGGGCCGGGAGACCCCAGGATGGACGAGAAGCAGCCGAACGCAGCCCGCGCCTCCCTCACTTGCACGGGCCGAGTTCCAAAGGCCAACGCACGGCGCGAGGAGCCCAGAACAAAAGCCGCGAGGCCGCAGACCGCCAGCTTCAGCGCAGGCTGAACGCAGCACACACCGAGCGGAAACAGCGCGAGCGCGGCCCGGCTGTGGCCCAGCAGGAGACTCCGATCGGACAGCGGAGGAAGAGGAGCGGCGGGGCGGAGTGGGCCGGGCCGCGCTAGGGAGGCGCGGAGAAACGGCTGAACGGCCCCCGCGGAGGTGCCGGGCCCGCCCCGAGGCCCGGGCAGACTCCACGATGAGGGCCGGCAGCAGCGGGGGGCCGTTAAGCAGCCGAGAGCAGCGGGCGCACCTTGAGCTTCACCTCCGGGTCCACCTTGAGCAGCGAGGCCATACCGGCAGGTGCGAATCCGGGTCTCGCCGTGCCACGGGCCGCGCCTGCCGCCACCCCACCGCCGGCTCCGCTGCCGCCGGAAGTGAGGTCACGCCGCGTGCTGCCAATAGCAGCTCGCTCGCTCCCCGCCTGACCGCGCCGCCGGGTCCTGGCAGCTGGCAGGAAGGAAATAGAGGGGAACGTGGAAAAGAAAATGGCCGCCATCGGGGCTTCCACACGCCTGCTAGGACCTTGCCGGGCTGTGCGTCACGTCCGGCGGAGACGATGGCGGTGGTGCGGACGAGGGGCTGAGCGGAGCGGAACGGCATGGAGGGCGGGCGGGCGCCCGCCTGCACCACGCAGGTCAGCTTCGTGTGCCAGCGCTGCAGCCAGCCGCTGAAGCTCGATACCTCCTTCAAGATCCTCGACCGGCTCACCATCCAGGAGCTCACCGGTACCGGCACAGCGCGGGGGGTGGGACGGGCCGACTGGGCAGCGCCGGGCGCTGACAGCTTTTCTCCCGTAGCGCCGCTGCTGACCGCTGCGCCTGCCCGGCCCGGGGATGCGCAGGAGGAGAGCGCCCTGAGCGAGGTACGAGGAGGGAACGGGCGGGACGCGGCCGCACCGCGGACCCGGTAACGGCGGTGCCTTTCCCTGCAGGAGGCCTTCGCGGAGGGTCGGCAGGACGGCGTCTCCAGGAGGTTCATCCCGCCAGCCAGGTATGCGGCCAGGGCAGAGCTGGTGGACGCGCCGCGCCGTGCCTGCCTTGGGCCGGGGGGCGGGCAGCGCTGTGGGAGGGGTGCTGTGTGCCTCGGATCGCGCGGAGACTTTTGAAGCCTGCTTCTGGAAGTGTTTTCCGTGGGCTCTGAAACGCACTCAGGAACAGCCCTTTAAAGCCCCGTAAATATACTGAGGACACTTAGTTAGTTGTGGGTTAACACAAAACAGGCTTGGTAGAGCTCCTTTGACTCCTGTCCCCTCAGCCGTTTTTCTGGTGTGTTGTCTGTGTTCTTCCTTCCTGAGAACTGCCCTAGATCTAAGTCTCGTGCACAGCCTGGTTCCGTTAAGCCCTCCGCATTCAATTCTCGGTAAAATTCTTTCCAAGAATGATGTCAACAGAAAGCGCCAACAGCTTCACGCTGATTGGAGAGGCATCAGATGGAGGCACGATGGAAAACCTCAGCAGAAGACTGAAGGCAAGTTGTACTCGAGCTGGTAAACTTGGGTACTTTAGACTTGATGACCTCAGAGATCTTTTTCTCCCTAAATATTCTATGACTCCATGACTATAGCATTAGTTTTTCTAGACACTGTGAAGGGGTTGAAGTGCAAAGTTTGTCATGGCATTGGCCTTCAAATATTTTTGAGAATGAATAGTTAAGTAAGCATAACTGGCTTATTTTTAATCAAGACTTAATCTCTTAAAATACTCTGTCAGATGAAGAGCCACAAGCCCATCTGCTGGGAAGCAACTGGCAGCTGTCTGAAGCTTTGCTTGAACTAATGGTGAATTTCTCCTCCAGGTTACCGGAGATCTCTTTGATATCATGTCTGGGCAGACGGATGTGGATCACCCCCTGTGTGAGGAGTGCACAGATACTCTGCTAGACCAGCTAGACACACAGCTTAATATCACAGAGAATGAATGCCAGAACTACAAGTGAGTAATATGGAATTGGTCAGGAAATCAGTTGGCTTAGTTGGAAGCTAGGGAAAAATAGGCTTATCTCGCTTTCCATAGCCAGCAATGGAAGCTCTGGACTTTAGCACTTTGTTTGACTGAGATTAAGCGCTTACTTCTGAGGATCTCAAACTGAAGTCTGTGCACTCACTGGAGTGACAGACCCCACCTGCCCAAGGTGCCAGGTGGGAGCACTCACTGTGAGATCCACATACTCCGCAGTTATTCACAGGCAGCAGCAGGTCCTCCATCACCACCTTGTTCCACTGATACAGCCGATGCACTTGTAAGATTGGAGTTTGTGATTGTACTTCTACTCGCATGCAGGGCCTGTCATAGAACTACAAAGTATTGTCAGAGGGCCTTTTCAGGGTCTCCATGCTTATAACCATGTAACTGTCCTACCAGGAGATGTCTGGAGATACTGGAAAAAATGAATGAGGATGATAAGGAGAAACTGCAGACAGAACTGAAAGAACTTGCACTGGAAGAAGAGCAACTGATTCAGGAGCTAGAGGATGTTGAGAAGAACCGCAAGGTTGTGGCTGAAGACTTTGAAAGAGTCAGGGCAGAGGCGGAGCGACTGGAGCAGGAAGAAGCTCAGTGAGTGAACTGCAACTGCAGTTGCTGGCAGATAAATGAAATTATAAAGTATGGAAACCTATGACTAATGCCCAAATGCACAAAGCTTGTTCTTGGCAAAACTGAAGCTGGACACGCCAAAATAATTCTAGCATATCATGTGAGCACTTACATTCTTTCCTGTAAGAGCCTTGTACCTAGCATTTCTTGTCTTGATTTTATTTGAAGGTATCAGAAAGAATACTGTGAATTTAAGAGACAACAGCTGGAGCTAGATGATGAGCTGAAAAGTGTGGAGAACCAAATGCGTTATGCTCAGATGCAACTGGATAAATTAAAGAAAACTAATGTGTTCAATGCAACTTTCCACATCTGGTAACGTAGACACTGGAATATTGCTTCAGTTTGCTAAGATTCTGCAATATAGAACCATTTAAATAAAACTGCTTTTGACAGAAGGGGTGCTAGTCAAGTTGTGCTGCAGAAAATGGACCCATCTCCCACTAGTGGCATCTCATAGATTTGCTGCAGTTTGCAGATGTGTGTGAGGAGCCTGCAAAATGGCTCTGCTAACCATGTTAACCAGCAGGCAGCTGTTGTGCTGGCCAAATTTCTGTCAGGCTTCAGAGAGCATGCAGCTTGTTTTTGTTTTCCCAAAGGAACTTCATAGAAAGCAAAACATTGGTGATATTTATATATACTTTCAAATCAGGGTCCTCAAACCTTCATTCTGCGTGATTGGTAGCGTGTTCTGTAGCTGTTTGTAGGTTGCCCTTGTTTGGTTAGCATGCTAAAAGCTGTTCCTGCCCTCGTGCACTTTTTTATAATTCCTCTTATCACAGGCACAGTGGTCAGTTTGGCACAATAAATAACTTCAGACTTGGCCGTCTCCCCAGTGTTCCTGTAGAATGGAATGAGATCAATGCAGCCTGGGGGCAGACTGTGCTGTTACTGCATGCCCTTGCTAACAAAATGGGCCTGAAGTTTCAAAGGTATATGCAATATAATTTGCATTTCACATTTCACTTACAACCTGGATAAAGACTTTTAGACTCACCTGCCCATGAACTGCATGTCCTTTCAGATACCGCCTTGTACCGTATGGCAACCACTCGTATTTAGAGTCCCTCACAGACAAATCGAAGGTAAGTAATTCTGCACGAGTTGCAGAAAATAGACCTGGAACATCTCAGATCCCTGCTCATATTGAAGGACACAGAAGACTAAGTCTGCTCTTGAGAGTACACCTTTATGAATTTATGGCATAGGAGAGCTGGCTACTCTGCTTTCAACACATAGTGTTTCACTCCATGTCATATCAAGCCACTGACTCTGCCATCCAGGAGCATTAAAAAAGGCCGGACTCTTACATTCACAGAGCAGCTGGTCAGAGGAAGTTCATTTGATTTGGGAAGATTGTTGGTGATAAGGAACTCAAGTCTTCTCTCGATAACCACTAACATTCACGTAGCATGCTTAGCATGAGACAAACTGCAGCTGTTACATGCTACAAACTACTGTAGTAAGCATCCTAAATTTAAGCCTCATACAGACTAAAGATTTGTAATGACAGCATCTAAAGTGAAAGCTTAAGGTGCCTGAATTTTTTTTAATTTTTTTTTTCCCCCAGGAGCTACCCTTGTATTGTTCTGGAGGCCTAAGGTTCTTTTGGGACAATAAATTTGACCATGCGATGGTGGCTTTCTTGGACTGTGTGCAGCAGTTTAAAGAGGAAGTGGAAAAAGGTGAAACTCGGTTTTGTTTGCCTTATAGGTAAGTGTTGCCAAATAACATCAAATTACCACATTGTATGGTGTCCCACTTAGCACTGTTAGCTGACCTCTGGACCTGTCCACAGCACTGCTTGCTTTGCAGTCCTGTCTTTTGGAGATCATTTCATGTTCTTTGTAGTGTGCAGGATTATCACCCTTGCTATAAGTCTGAGATTTAAGGCTAGTTCCTCAAGTGAGGAAGTCTGAGGCTTGCTGCATTTCTTTTAAAAACAAAATATTATAACGTACAAAGAATGTGAGTATCAGATTTAAAGATCAGAACTTAACACTACATTGAAATTAAATGCTTGCTCTAGTAACTTCTTAATAATCTTTGTGATACAGGATGGACGTGGAGAAAGGAAAGATTGAAGATACAGGTGGCAGCGGTGGTTCTTACTCTATTAAAACACAATTTAACTCTGAGGAGCAATGGACAAAAGCACTAAAATTCATGCTAACTAACCTGAAGTGGGGTCTTGCCTGGGTCTCATCCCAATTCTATAACAAATAACCATGTCAAGGCAACTGTAAAGCATCTGCATTTTATTGGAGAAACTCAAAGTAAGAAGTCTCTGAATACTAACCAGTACAAAATGTTTACAATACCAAAAATTCACAAGACACTTTATTTAAAAAATAAAAAAAAAACGTTATTGCAAGTAGTATGTAGAAAAGCAATAGGTAAAATTATATAATTGAGCTGAACTGAATTTGAAAAAAAATCAGCTACTGAATAAACATTAAACTGGCATTTTGGATGTTTATAGATATGTATATAAGTTACTGTCAAACTTCAAAATGCCAGCGAGTTTGATACTACTGTTACAGCTTAACAAAACAGGGGTTAGAAAAATGAAATGTTTCTAACAGGGACTACTGTGGAAAAACGCATGGAAAGTCTGTTTGGTCACTGAAGAAGTACAGCTTAAAATAAATATTTTCTAAGTCATATCTACATTTCTTTTTGCCACTGAACTTTACAAGGGTTTGAAACTGCAAAATACCGTTACTACAGTGATATCACCTATTTGTAATACTTGCTGTAGCGTGTTACTGCACAGAGGTGCACTGAGTAACACCAAAGATAAAACAGCCCGTTCTACCCTGAGATTGCGTTCATCTAACACTAGTCACAGCCTAAGCATCCCTCAGCACTTATGCAGTTATGCTGAACAGGCACCTGCTGCCTTGACAACTGCACTCAGCTTTCAAAACAGGTGAGAGTTTTTCTTTCCACAACACTGCCCAGCTAGCTGGCTTGCTGAAGGCAAGAGCAAACAAGCCTCTGACCACTGGCAAAGGGAAAACTGACAAGCAACCTGGCTGCAGCAAGCTGTCTGAAACAGCAGTTAGTTTTTGAACCAGCAGCACAGTACAGCCCGGTTTGTAACAACTGAGCTTGTGAACTTGTAGCAATACTGATGACCAAGCTGAATAACATTCACATTAATGCTTTTTCAAATTAAGACTCCTTACAGTTTTCAAACAAAACGTATTCAGTAAGTTAAATGTAGCTCTTAAAATAAAGCTTTTGGAGCTGAAAAAGGTGTTCTAAACACTGCTTTGTTCCTGTGTACCTGTCTTCACGGCGCGAGTGCGTAGCCTGGAAGAACAAGCTTTTCTAACTTAAACATAGCAAATGAAGTATTACAGAACAGACATGGTATTCAAAATCAAAAGAAAATCAATTTGGGTGCCCTGTGTAGTATCACAGGAGGTGAAATACCATCAAAAGAGTAACTTTGCTACTAACAAACTAACTAATAGATACAGAGGATAGCTGTATATAAAAGGCATAATTCTAGTCTTTGGCATTTTTCTTCTACCTCCTGTGGGGCTGTTTTGGAGTGATGCTGCCAATAACGTGTTTCAGTACTGCATATGAAAACTCCGAGATACTTTGTGAAGTAATGCCAGTAATACAGTTTAGATGTTCCACAACCTTAGGAAAAAAAAAAAAAAAAACCAAAAACCAAAAAAACCCCACTTATTTACAGTGCCTAAAATACATTAATTTACAGAGCTACTTCTTAGCCCTACCCATATCTAAGAATAATAATGCTCCACAAACCCAAGTCGTGTTTTTGACTTAAGTCAAAACCTTTCTGTATGTCAGAGCAAGGGGTGGGTTTTTTTGTTCTTGTTTGTTTTTTAAATGAATTGCCTCTACTAAAGGAATAAAATGAAAAAGCTGCTTTCTGCAATGCACTGCTTATTATTCAGTAGCAGCTTGGGCAGAAAATTGTCCGGTTGTCAACGAAACTGACTCACTGAGTTCGAGCTGTACAAAAGCTGAGGCAGGAGGATAAGCTGATGGTAACACCAGCACAAGCCTTGCTGCTGAACTGCCTTTGTGCCCTCTGACCTATCTTATAAAACCATGCACACTTCCTGCGAATAAACCAAAGGATGTCACTTTCTCTCCCAGTAGTCTACCAACCTCTGTCTGTTCTTAAATATATAAATAACCTTCACTTTTTTCCCCACACATAGAGGTAATTTGTTTGGAAATGACTGTACCTTCTTCCAGTGCTCAGGGTTTAACACGAAAGCACTTGTGCTGATGATTCCAACTGCCAAGAGCATTAAATCTTCCTTTACTATCAAGAACTTTGCTCTGCACAAGTAAAAGCATGTAACGGTGTAAAACGATGCTAGTTCAAGAACACTGGAAATCTTTGTACAGCCTGCAGACATTTTAGCTTGTATAGTCAGTCCAAATAAAGCTTGATACTATTAACCTTAATTAACAGTACCGAAGCTGGATTTTTAACATGAAGTTAAACACTTCCCTAGCTTGCCCTTAAAGCAAAGGGCAAAGTGGTGAAGCATGTTGTTTTGAACTGGTATATTATGCTTCATCAACAATATTGAAAGCTTCCCAAATTAAGATACTTAAAAACAGATGTCAGAAAAGACGACAAGAAAAAAACCCAGCATAATGAGAATTATAGTAGTATGCTTTTGTAAGGTTTTAATTAATGTAAGCCACTTACATCTGCAGTTCACTTGGTGTCAAATTCTCAATGGCAATACTCAGTAAAGTGTCATAGATGGTATCTCTTTTAAGATAGAAGAAGTCTAGTAGTTGTATGCACATCTGATGCAGCGGTCTTGCAGGAAGTAAGCAGCCATTATGTCCTGATGTAGAGATCATACACAATTACCCAAACATTTAGGATCAACAAATTGAGTTAGAAAGAAGCATTAGTTACTGCAAGTGAAGAGTACAGATGTTTTGTGACAACTGCCCCTTGTTTCTGAATGCCACAGGGCCCTCTCAATCTCAGTGCCATTACACTCCTGAAATTCAGGTTGTCAGACCTGGGCAAAGTAAATGGTAAGTCATTTTAGAAAATGTGTTCTTGTACTAAGTTTAGTGAATTTAAAGCAACCTTTTATTGAATGGGACAGGACTGGCTGTCAGACAACACCCTGCAGATTCTACTATAGACAAATTCTCATCTGAAAGGTCAAGTCTGAGAAGTTTCACATGCCTTCATAGTAAGAAAAGACATGTAACATGGGACATTTCGTTTCAGATAGCTATCGTGCAGTAATAGCTCTGTTGCTCTTAAAATTCCTTACCATTCTCTCTTAATAATGCTCTTACCTAAAACCTCTAGAAGCAGTTCAATGTAAGCCAGTGGAGTCGACACATTGATCTGGAACTGCAGAGTTTCCAAAACAGCAAGCTCTGACTCAAGCAACTCTTGTTTAGTGTATGAGTATTTTAAGGATTGCAGAAATTTTACAGCTGTGTCACTGTTAACTGCCTAAGAGGAAAAAAAAAAAACCACACTATTGTGTCCTCATTGCTTTACTCCTCCCGTTGAGTTTAAGCACAAACCATTGTGGTGTTGATACTGCATGCTCCCACAGCTGCCCAACATGCCTTTCAAACTGGCTTGAGAAATACAGCTCAGAATTTTCCCTTAGGTTCTCTATACCCACACACACGGTCGCCAGACGAGCTCTTTATAGCTCTCTGTGTTCTGACAGCCACAGGCTGGGATTTCCAGCTGCCTGTACTTTCTTCCTGACCTGTACTGGGAACATTTCCTGATACATTTTTACAAGATGAGTTACAATTAATCTGCCTGAAATGCAAGAGACTGGGGCCTCATTTTGCTATCCTTTGTGTTGCTATCACTGCTGATTTTCAGAGAGAAAATGTATTACTTAGAGAGGTTATATACTTTTCTACAATACTGAAAATGCAGCTGTAAAAGGCTCATATAGGTTACATTATAGTGTAAGGAAAGTTTGCTCGCAAGCTGAATGCACGACACCAGCCGTAGGACAAATGTGTCATAGATCTGTTCTTGCAGAGAGCTCTGGCTTCTGCCTTCTTCACCGCCTGTGACGTTCTGTCGGGGGGACGTACAGATTTGTTCTACTTGCTTGATCATAAACCTACAAGAAACATTGCTAGTAAGGAAAAATGAAGACAAGCAGTTCTGTATGTACACAGTACATGTATAGCTATAGATCTAAATTATCATTGAAGAGACGAAGCTCCAGATACAAAAAACATATAGTTTGAGTGACCAGCAAAGGGTACGCATGGTGTCAATTGCATTAGAGATGAGAAGTGCTCAGCATTTTCTTACCTTTCAAGTAGCTCTACTGCTTGATACCTTGCTGGTTGGTGCAGGTGCCATTTTTCAGACAGAAGGAATATAAATTCTGGAAGAAACAGACAAAAAAAAAACCAACCACCTAATTGCAGCAAACTTCAGCCAGCAGACACAGCTGTACAGCAGTCCAGTGATGCAGGAGCCAGTGGTGGCTGTGCAGCACCTCACCCACAGCACGTGCCTCCCTGAAGCAGCCCACAGGGCCGGGCAGCACGCTGAGGTGCTGCTCATTCTCCATGGCCAGCTGGATCAGTGTGTCCTCGATGATCTCAGGAGCAACTTCACCAAAGAGCGGATCTGGGCTGGAGAATCTGGATGATACTGGCACCCGGGACAGCATTTAGCAATTTGCATCTGAAACTTTGAGGGCTGTAGTAACGGCAGTAACCCTTCACAACTACCAATGCCAAAAGCCACACAAAACCAGGCAGAGGCAGCCCTTACGGCCTGGGAAGACCGGCCGGAAAGTGGAAGACCCACCCGCAGCCTCCGGAAGGAGCCCCGGGGCGCGCGGCGCAGACGCAGCCCTACCGGCAGAGCGCGTCCCGCCTTGGCACGTGCATACGGTTCCTGCCTGAGGGAGCGTCTCCACCAATCACAACGCGCCCTCTACGGCCCTCCACGTTCCGGCGCCAGCCAATCACTCGACGCTCCGCCTCAGACCGCTGGTGTTCCCGCGCTCCTTTCCGATTGGCCCGCTTCCCGGACGGATGTGGCGTCACTGCGCTACCGGAAGTCGCGGTAGGGAAGATGGCGGAGCCGAGGGAGCCTGTCGGGGAGGCGGCGTTTGCGCGGCGCATTGACCCGGAGCGGGAGCCGGGGCTGAGCCCTGAGCAGCGCCGCTTCATGGCGCAGGTGGAGCGCGCCCAGCGTCAGCGCGCCTTGCAGCGCCAGCTCCGCAGCCGCAACGTGTTGCTGGCCCTCGGCATCGGCGTGGTCACCGCGGGCATCTGTATCCTGCAGGCGGAGGGCGGGCTGTATGGGCTGCGGAGGGCTGTTGTGTTCCTTAACCCCTTCCGCAGACGGGTATACCTTCTACTCCGTGTCGCAGGAGCAGTTTCTGGACGAGCTGGAGCAGGAAGCGGAGGCGGCGCGGGCACGGGCCTGGGAGCGGCAGAAGAGTGCTGCGAGCTGAGCCCGGCCTGGCCCGGCGACGGCCTCGAGGAGACCGGAGTCGCGTGGAGCCTGCGTGGCCGTGCTACTCGTTACAGTGTCAGGACACCCTGCAGGCAGGGCCTTTTGTCCCAGAGCACAGTGGGGTCCTGGCTAGGGACATGTTCTCAGAATGGGATCGGGCTCCTGCTGCCTTTGCACAATAAACATGTCTAGAGCCTGGGTTGATGCTTGCTGCTACGTCACCTGGTGACCAGAATTCCACTTGGGGTCTCACAGCCCCTGGACACCTGCAGATGTAGGGGGGATTCTCCATTTTTTGTTTTTATCATCTGACTCAAATTTGCATGAACCCCAACTGCATAGACACAGACAGACATGCTTGGTATTTAATCTGTATTTATGAAAACACTTTCTAGACTTCAGTTTGTAACAAAATGCACTGGGCTGTCATTTTTTAGGGGTTTGAGGGTGGCATCATCTTGCTCTGGAGCCAGCTTTGGTCCTGGCAGCTTGCAAGAGGAAAGTGGCACTTTGAGCCATGGACAGCAGCTGGGGAGCCGGATGTGAAGCTGTGAGGTGGCCCTGGGTTGTGCGCGTGGACTGAAGGATGGTTGGAGGACAGCGCGGTGGCAGGGGTGAAGTGGATGCAAGGGGTGTTCAGTTCTGCTCTGGGAGCCAGGAGCAAAGTGCAGCACAGTGATGCTATGAGCAGTGTCAGCACTCATCCCTCCTGCTTCTGGGGCCAAGCTCAAGCAAATGGCTGTGTGCCACTGCGATGAGACAGGGCTGGGGCACACAGGAAAGAGCATATCGGACAAGTGTGGGGACAGCCCTCTGTCTGGTGCAGAAGCAGCAGGTGCCAACAGTGAAGTCTTGATAGGGTTCAGAATGGCAAAGGGCCAGGCTTCCCGAGGTGAGTGCCCACCATCCTTCCAGATGGTGCAGAGGCTCTCTCACCCCCTTACGGGGGCAGCAGGCACACTGTTGAGGTAGCTCATGAAGTAACTCCTGGCCAGCTGGCTACTGTGGGAGAGAGGTGCTGATGAGCTGGGGCAGGCTGGGAGTGCCGCAGGGCTGTTACCAACCCCTTACCCCTTACCATCCAGCTGAAATCATCTGCAAATGTCACGCCCTTGCTCAGCCGCTGCTCCTGGGAGCCAGTGCTGCTGCCACTCAGTGAATTCCGGCGCATGATTCCTGCTGGGACAGTTTGGTCCTGAGTGGGTGCACTGAGCTGTGCCTCACACAGGCTCAGCCTTGGGAGCCCCATCCTAGCTGGGAGTTGCAGGTATCACTGGGGCTGTACCTGGGGGCTGCGCCAACTCCAGGCGCTGCAAGCTGTTGCGGCGGGAGGGGTTGAAACTGCCCTTGGAGAGGCGGCGCTGGCGGCTGGAGAGCATGGCAGCAGGGGAGACGATGCCCAGCGGGGGCTGCTTCCCCATCCGCAGGTACAGTTCCTCAATCTCCTTCTTCTGGGTGCTTTGCAGCAGCTGTACTTCAGCCAAGTGCCTTGGGAAAGAGAATGGGAGCTGAGCCTCGTGTACATAGGGTGACCTGCAAAAGGGCATCGTCCTTCTGCCTTAATGAGCACAGCTCCCCACCCCTGGTGTGCACAGGAAGCCACGAGCTCACTATGGGGCTGCTCACTTTTGGCGCAGGGTCTGCAGCTCCTCCCAGATCTCCTCGTCCTCGCTCTCACTGTCATCGCTGCTCACATAGGACAAGCTGCGGGACTGGCTCAGCCATACCTGGCTCAGCACCGTCTGCGGAGCACTCTCCTCCCCAGGGCCCTCCCGGTCACTCTCTGCCGGCACTGCTGTCCCCTCCTCAGCTACTGCCTCCTCCTCAGGGTTCTGCACTGCCATCTCCAGCTCTGAGTCAGAGTTGCTGCTTGTGCTGCTTCCTGTGCCAGAGGTGGTGGGCAGCAGAGAGCTGCTCACCGCCAACTCTGTGCCGTGCTGCTTGCTCTCACTGCTGCCCAGCACTGGGGATGTGACAGCTGGCTCCTTGGATGGTGTCACCTGGAAGCGGCCCAGGATCTGGGGCTTGGCTTCTGGGGGGAATCCATGGGGCCTGGGGTGAGTGGGATGCCAGGGATGCTGCAGTGCCCCTGTGGGCACAGTCCTTTCCCCACCTCACCTTCATTGATGGGTGACAGCCGGGCCTTGGGCACACTGGATGCTGGCGACTCTGAGACGATGAGTGGGTGATCGGGCTTGAGGGAGACAAACGGCACCTGCAGGCACCCGTATGCTGTCACTATACCACTACAGTACCTCTGCTTTTGCTCCCACAGCTGTGACCTTTGGCCTGCTCAGCCCTCCCAGCTTCTCACGGCTGTCTCTGCGCTGGAGCATCTCCGTGCTGCAGGGCTCTGTGTCCCATCACCAACCCAGCACACAAGCATTAAGGCCCACATCAAACGGCTCCACAGAGCCCCACACTCACTGTGCTGCCCTCGGGGCTCCCTGGCATGACTGTGCTTGGCATCGTCAAGGGACCTCCGGTGGGGCACAGAGGAACTGCTGTCGGAGGAGAGAATGGCACGGGCCCCTCCATAGCAGGGACGTCAGCCCCCAGAGGCCCGCTGCAAGACAGGGAGGATTTTGCCATACTGGCAGGGTCAGGGTAAACGAAGCGTGGGGGCCCAAGGACGAGATTCTGTGGCCGAGGCAGCAGCGGGGGGTAGAGGTGCCCACCTGAGCTGGCAATGGAGGAGACAGCAGGCAGTAGCGTGTGGGCCACGCTCATCACTGCCAGGGAAAAGACATTGGCCAAGGACAGGAGGGGGGTGGCTGGGGACCAGGGTGTGCTGGTCACGGGGGGGCTCATGGGACTCCTGGGTCCACTGGGGATGGGGGATGAGGGGACTGGCAGAGCAGGGGGAACAGACATTCCTGAAGAGCCTGGGGGTGTCTGTAGGAGCACCGGTGATGCTGTCATCCAGGATGGAGATGATGAGATGAGAGGCCAGGGCTGCGCCGAGCCTGCAGGAAAGAGAAGCATCAGGAGCAGGGAGCAGCCCCAAGCACTGTGCCACTGCAAGTCTGGCAAAGGTGCTGCAGCTGGCAGGGCTATGGCTGGGAGTCCTGGGTAGAGAAAGTGCTGCCCTGCCAGGCCTAGTACCTGCAGGGGAGCCCGGCAGTGGCTCTGCAGGGCTGGAGAGGTCATTCTCCAATGGGGAGCTGCTCGGCGCTGGCAGGGTGGGTGACTGGAGCGAGGTGCTGGGGCTGGTGCAGCCCAGGTCTGTGGCACAAGGGCACACTTAGCCCATCTAGGCCTCCCAGAACCCTCCTGGCTCAGCCGGGGGTGCAGGAAGAGCTCACACAGAGGTGAGGACGTACCACTGAGTGAGGAGGAGGAGATGGAGTGTGACAGCTCCTGAAGCTGCAGCTCTGCCTGCTGGAGAAAGAGAAGCTGAGCTCAGTGCTGGAACAAGCTGAACCAAAGCATGACCGATCCCCAGCCCATCTCCACTGCAAGCAGGGACAAGAGCCTCAGTTCTGTCATGCAGACAGCACCATGACCCGGAGCTGCAGGGCTGCTCTTGCTGGGGCTGGAAAGATTCAGCACCCACAGCGTCTGCTCCAGCACCAGCCAACCCCCAGCCACACTCGGGGTCCCAGCGTGGGGGGCTGGGACCAGGCACTCACAGGATGGCCGGTGACACACTCAGCCTCGGGGCTCTCGGGCAGCTCGGACGCGCTTTGCCCGTCCTTGCGCAGCAGAGTCTCCACACGGTGGATGATGTCCTGAATGCGGTGGATGAAGCTGTCCTGCTCCGACTTGAGGATGAACTCATTGTGGACCTGGTGGGGCAGTGTGGTGATGATCAGAACCATGGCTGCCCTTTCCCCACCCTTATCCAAGTCCTGCACTCACCATGACAGCTGCGATTTCCTCTGGGTTGTCCCCATCCAGGTCGAACTTGAATGTCACCATCTTGTTGTTGTAGGTCTGCAGCTGGCACTCCACCACCCGATCGTTCTTGTCGGAGATCTGCATGCAGCATGGAGGGCTCAGCAGAGGCAGCAGGGATGCATTTCACCCTGACACAACGGCACTTACATTGGTGATGCGCAGCCGGGACCGGGCTCTGCGTCGCTGCAGCCTCCCCACTGCCCGCTTGGCTGGCAGCTTGCTGCTCTGCTCACCAGCAGAGAGCCCCTCGCAGCCGTCGCTCATGCCCGATGCCACATCCGAGGCATAGCTGCATGACACCCCGTACGTGAGTGTGGCTGTCCCCACCTGCAGCCCCCTTCCTAGACAGCTCCAGCCCAGGATCCCAGTGCTTACCTGTCCACTGGAGAAGAGAAGCCGCTGGCTGTGGGCAGGCGCTCAGAGGGTAGCTGCACTGCGATGCTCTGTGGGGAGGGGATACTGTGAACCAGTGCCACCACCGCTGCTACCCCAACCCTCCCAGCCTCATGAGCTCACCGTGGGGAAGCAACGTGTGGAGCGGGTGGGTGGGGGGCTAGTGGGAGTCCCCATTGAAGCACTGCGATGAGACACATCTGGGGAGTCGAGAAAGCCAGAGGAGCTCAAGTAGCCATCTGTTTCACAGTCAGCTGAAAACAAGTGCACATGTGAGCATGGCCAGCTGTGCTTACTAAAGGGGAACCCCAGCTCTCAGTTCCCCTTTAGTAAACACAGCCTTGGGGTGCGATGCACAGGTGTGGCTGGAGGAGCGGGAGAGCCCCATGTCTGCTTCCCTGTGCCTACATACAGGTGGCCGAGGAGTAGCTCGTGTGCCGGTACACGAAGTGCTGGTCAGCCTCAGGTTCCTCAGGCTCTGGTGGGAAGGTGCTGCTGAAAACAGAGTCCCTGGAGCCGGTGGTGGCTGGGGCAGGTGCAGGGATGCCTGGTGCCAGTGGGGACTTGAGGTCCTCCAACAGCTGCAGGACGCCCGGCGGCTGCCCAAGCTCAGCCTGTGGCACCACATCCTGCGCACGCTTCAGTTTCTCCCGCTTGCGCTTGATGGCAACCACGCGGTCCCGCACCGCCTTCGCCACCAGCTTGTAGTCAGCCTCACAGACAAAGCCCAGGACGACCTGCACAGGAGTGGAGGTGTATCGGTCTGCAGAGATCCCCACAGTGTCCCATCCCCTCCACCCTGCAGCACCCACCATTTCCTGAGCCACCTCCTCTGCCACATCCTTGTAGAGCTCGAAGAGAAACTCGATGGCATTGTTGTCCTTGTACTTGCCATGCAGCTTCTTT